AAGAGTTCTGCCTTCTCTCACGCATCCGTCACCAGCTGCCCTGCCCTGCCTCGTAGGGGTCCAATGTTACCCCGAGACTTCTTCTTGCTACCTATATACTTGAAGAAGGACTTTTTGTTATCCTTAATCCCAGAAGCTAATCTAAGCTCCAGTGCTGCTTTAGACTTCCTCACCAAATCCCTACAAGCTCAGGTCAGGGAGGTGTACTCCTCCTTTGTCCCTGACCCCTGCTTCCACTGCCAGTATGCTTTTTTCTTTGCCCTCAGGCCAGCTTGGATATCCACGCTCAGCCATGAAAATTTCTTGGACCCTTTTCCTGCCTTTCTGCGCAGAGGAATTGTGTCCTGCTACGCCCCAAGGATAGCCTCCTTGAGGAAGGACCACCTTTTCTGGACCCCCATACTAGCTACCCCCGGGGTCCGGGGGCCCCCCCGACCACCGCCCCGGGCAACTCCATGTTGGCTTTCCTAAAGTCAAGCATTTGCGCTGTACTAGTAATGATAATAATGAGCAAATGGTCACTTTGCCCTTTATTGTACCACATCAGTGGCCATGAAAAAAAGGTAATATAAAATAGTGCTGTTTTACTGTAGTGGACATGTATTTATACCGTGGTGGGAGAGTGCAGGCAAAGCTGCCCACACTAACTGCCCCATAAAAGAGCTCTGAGTGCTTGAGAAGCTCAATCCAGTGCATCCTGGGAACTTCTGTGCAGGATTGGGCCTTTTGAGCCTCAGGAGCACCAGCCTGCCCTTCTTTGCTAACAGAGAGGCACCCTGGAGAATCTTGAGGTGCCCCTCTTTATAAAAGAGGGGTAAGTCCTGATTTTTTGCTTACTGAGACCTGCTCTGAGATCTCCAGGGATATGTCTCTGTAAGCAAAGAAAGCCCATGCAGGTCCCAGCATGGAGGCATGCGACTCAGGGAATCTCCAGCACCCTGTGCCTCCATGCTGGGACCCAAACCAGGTCCCATTCTTCATGCAGAGCCACAAGTTGGCATGGGTACTAGCAAAGAGGCACAATGTGGCATAGGACCTTGAGGAATCCTGGTACCCTATGCCTGTGTGAGGAATGTGTTGAAATGGGATGCAGTGCAGGTCCTGGCAAGGAGGTGCAGGGTATCCAGGGACACGGGGAATCCCTGGGTAAAAAGAACACATCATCTAATAAAGCAGGTCAGCTGTGGTGGGATCTGCCCTACTAAAGCTGATCTACTTTGTTTGGGAGTGCCTGTTTTTATACCAACAGTCATAACTAATTCAGACAGAAATTTGAACTTCAGTAAAACAGATATCGTCATGTATGTCAAAACAAACATAAACCTTGCAAGCACAGATTCAGTGCTCAAAACACGAATTAGACCACCATAGGTGGGCATCAAGGCTAAGAGCCTATGCTTCAGGAATCCATCCATGCAGTTCTGTCAGAACAGGAGGAAAGAAGGATTTCTTCCCCCTACCTCACCACACATACACAGTTAAAGGCATTATGATTATTTATCATTTTCATTTATATATCAAATACTGCCCTGCTAAATCCAGGGCAAACATTGTGCTGCAATTATTATAAGAATAAAATTGATGATATAAAGAAATGCATGTGTGACATGCAGTCAGGAAAAAGTTGCTATTTTAACATGCCTAATAGCCATATACATTAAGAAGAATTGGATGAGTACAGGGAGCGTGATAAAGTGAAAGTAGAATTTTAAAAATGATCAAAGAGAAAATAGTAGGGTTGGAGTGTTATTGTAGCTATGATGGTCCAGGAAATGTCAAGACACAAAGCTTTTGGTGGTATTTTTTTCTGAGCCAACTATATTGTTGGAAGAGCTGTTGAACAAACTTTTGGGTACTAGGTTTCCTTCCTCAGGCCCCCATAAAATATGAACATTTCATATATCGTCCCTTCCTTCCCCCCAGAAAAACTACACATTTAGAATTCTTCACAGGAAAATTCCAGTCATTTATTTGCCATAAAACTATCCAGACTGAAGAGTACATATTTCACTGCTGCAAAGAGAAAATATCTAGTGACTTAAGTACTCTGGCTGTGTGTGTACAATTTATACCTGTAAGAAAATATTCATATGAAAATTTAAAAGAGTACAACTTGCTGCATTTCATTTTCTCTAACGGGACAATTGTGCATGCTGAAGCAGGGATTCAAGGAAGATACAATAAGACAGATTAAAACATAATGGAGAAAGAGGGAGATGAGTATTTATTTGGAAGAAAAAGTCAATCCTTCATTAAATGGAAATGTGATCTAATGTCAAGATTAGTATCCAAATAACTGGAGTCAAATTTTGAGAAGGGAGGGTGTGTATACACATGTATGTGGATGGGCACACTACATCATCTACGCTGGGAGAATCTATATGAGAATATTGAAGCAGAAAGGGAGCCTAGGAAAACCACCTTTTACTGATTTAGAAAGGCTAAAAAGTGTTTCTACTGAAAAGTAAATACTGGCACTCAATTTTAAGAACATTGATGTAATGAAAAAAACTCTGACTTGAAAGTTAGTTCAGCTTCTGAGAACAGGAAGCTAATGGAAGCATTTGTGAGGAAAAGCATTACAAAGCTGCTTTGAAGAAAGCTTAATTTTAGTGGCACAGACTCAGAAAAGCTTATTTTGTGGCAAAACTTGCTTTTTAGATAATATTACAGAAAAAGGGTAAAAAAAGAAAGAAGTTGACATTTGATTTCCACTGGGCTTATGTAAACAACTGTACATAGAGGGAATGTGCTGTAAATTACAGCAGCAAACAAAAACAGCTGGCAAAGTATTTGGTGGACAAAAAAAAAAAAGAGCAAAAAAAAAAGAGCAGTTAACGAATTGCCAACTGGAATGGAAAACAAGGTCATCACAAGAGACATTTCAGACATAAAATTTCCTTGAGTTCCAAAAGAAACTACGGCAAATTCTTTTTTTTGTCTGAACAGTTTAAAATATCAGCAGCTCAGTGAAATCTTTACAGTGCTAACCTGCCCCGCAAATACTTTGTAAGTGTTTGCATTATTGATTCCCTCCCTCCTATTAGGTAGGTTCATACATATATCTTGATCTAATAGCAACTCTACTTCCAAACAGCAGAGTTCCTACTTTCATGTCTTCACTAAAAGAAAATGTACACATGTAGGTTTAGTGTTAGACTGCAATATGACTTGCACAACAGGTCTGTGGCAACCAGCTACATTTATAAAAAGCAAAAAGGAAGATTTCAAAAGCATTCAGCTTTAGCCTAACATTGCTCCTGTTTGAAATCCACAGTTAAATATACACATACATACTCACATACACTCCTTGGAGTACAACCACTGTGTCATCTTTAGATAGAGCTCAGTCTGTGTCTTCTCCCCTCTATGCATGCACAAGACCAATTTAAAGAGAACATGAATGCATGTTACAGTTTCAGAAAGCTAAACTTCGAGCTGGGACAGCTCTGAATACTATAAGGGAAGAGCATCAAACATAGGCTCATGGGCTGGATCCAGTCCACAGAAATGTTT